GGTCTCAAACCCGCAGGCTCAGGCAATCCACTCACCTCAGCCTCCCAAGGCGCGGGATTACAGACTGAGCCACCGAGCCCGGCTGCAGAAAATTGTTAAACAAAGATAAGTAAATAATAGCAGCAGAGGCTGCACGCGGTGGCTCCAGCCTATAATCCCAGCACTTTGGGAGGCTGAGGAGAGAGGATTGCCTGAAACCAGGGGTTCAAGACCAGCCTGGGCAACTTGGTGAGAACTCCTCCCTACTATGAATAAAAAAATTAACCAGACGTGGTGGCTCATGCCTGTAGTTCCATCTGCTTGGAAGGCTGAGGTGGAAGGATCACCTGAGCCCAGCAAGTGGAGGCTGCAGTGGCAGTGAACGTGCCACTACACTCCAGTCTGGGCAACGGAGTGATATTCCAATTCAAAATAATAATAATAATAATACAGCAGAAGTAAAAAGATGACTCATGACTTTACCATTGAGAGATAACTAGCACCACAAATTTTGGCTTAAGGCTTCATAATTCATCTATATGTCTATCCAATTCAAATATGTATATCTGACATTTATAAAATAAGTTATGTCATCCTGTTCATACTAACTTAAAATAGAAGCCTAATCATATTTGCATGTAAACTGTTGTAATCAACATCTTTATAGTTAAATCTTAGGGCATAACATTAGTTATTACTTTAGAATAAATGACTAGATATGTGAAATTGTATAAATGACGGACACATGAGGTATAAAACAATATTTTACATTTAACTTGATTTTTCTCTGAACCTATGGCTTCACTAACCAAAGTTCTTTGCCCAAGACTGCTCACATGTCCCTTAAAGTATTGTTGCCAATTCTAGAACTGTTCAAGGTCTCATAAGTATCTGAAATGACTCATACTTACTTTTCGAGGCTTCACCTTATCTTGTAAATCATACTGGCCGATTCCTTTGTAGCTTATTCCAAGCCACCAAGGAAGTCCTTGTTTATCCTAGAAGATGGAAAAGCATGAGAACCAAGACCTAATTATTGAATATTCTAGAGGTGAAGTATTATTTACCAATTTCATACCTTAACAAGTATCAGCACATCAAACTAAAGCTGTCTTGGTAAATGAAATGCTACTTAAAAACATAATTTGTTATTAAAATATCTTCTTAGAGTTTCTACAAATAAGATCTATAAGTCAAAGCAGGCCAATATTGTAAATACCATCAAAAACAATAAAGTATTACTGTTTTGATTAAAAAATTGGAGAGAAGAAATAAAATGTAAGTAAGTCAACAAAGAATTAATCCAATAAAAAGCCAGCCATCCATTAAAAAAAAAAAAAAAAAAAGGCTCTTTGTTCTCTCAATTAGTAACCAGTTATAAAAGCTTGGGGAAGTTTCCAAAGAATTACAAAGACAGAAAGTAGTTCCAAATTCTGATGTTTATCATACAATTAACGATGAACATGAAAATATTGAAAATCCTTTTAGAGAACTGTACAGTTCAATGACAGGATGTTTGAATAATCAGTTTAAAGTACCTATAAGGCAGTGAGTAATGTCTTTTTTCATAAATTTATCTTTTAGGTCTTGCCAAAGCAAATAATATATTGACATAGAAAAATAAAATTTAGGCTTAGATAGATAGCTGTATGCAAACCAGAATCAGCAGAAGTTAAAGGTAAATTGGTATAAATTTTTAGTATGATTTGTCCTCATTATCTAATTCCCCACCATTTTGAATTGTATACAGATGTAAACATTGTCATAACATGAAAAGTCACTCAAGAACTGGTCAGGTATAACATCCTCTCCCAAATGAGATTCTCTAACACTATGCTTTATCCCTTGTCATCACCTCAAATATTTATTTGTTAATGTCTCCTGTCTTGTAAACATCCGAAAATACTATGCAAATATGAAACATACTGGTTAAAAAGTGATATTACAAATCCTGCAAGAACTTCAGTATTTTATGAAGTTGTTGAAATAACACTAGAGACTGCAGATTCTCAGACAAAGGCACTATCAAATGAAGATCTGGTAGCATTAGAAAGGTGAACAGACTTGGCAAAGTGACTCACATCTGTAGTCCTAGCACTTTACAAGGCCAAAGTGGAAGGATCATTTGGGCCAGGAGTTCAAGATAGCCTGGGCAATATAGCAAGACCATATCTCTATTATAAAGATAGATAAACAAACAAAGAAATAAATAAGAATTGGAAAAGAGAAAAAAACAGCAAGGAGAAGTATATCAAGAGAATGACCTGACTATCTTAAGAATCAGAGAGGTCTTGGAAAAACATTTGAATGTAACAAGTATTTTGCAAAAATACTGTACTTTATAATTTGCTAAAGAATAACAAGATAGTCAGGCGTGGTGGTTCACGCTATAATCCCAGCACTTTGGGAGGCTGAGGTGAGAGGACTGCCTGAGTCCACGGGTTTGAGACCAGCCCTGGCAACTTGGCAAGACCTTGTCTCTACAATAAATCAAAAAATTAGCTGGGCATGGTGGTGTGTGCCTGTAGTTCCAGCTACTTGGTAGGCTGTGGCAGAAGTATCGCTTGAACCCAGCAGGCGAGGCTGTGGTGGCTGGTAGCATGCCACTGCCCTCCAGCCTGGGTGACTGAATGAGACTCCAGCTCAAGAAAAAAAAATAAAAAGAATGACAAGATATGGCCAGGTGTGATGGCTCAAGTCTGTAATCCCAGAACTTTGGGAGGTTGAGGTGAGGGTATTGTCTGAGCTCAGGGGTTTGAGGTCAGCCTGGGCAACATGGTGAGACCTTGTCTCTACAATAAATCAAAAAATAAGTCAGGCGTGGTAGCACATGCCTATAGTTCCAGCTGCGTGGAAGGCTCAGGCAAAAGGATCGCCTGAGCCCAGCTGGTCAAGGCTGCAGTGGCCAAGTGTGCCACCACACTCTAGCCTGGGCGACAGAGTGAGACTCCAACTCAAAAAAAAAAAGTGGAAAAAAAAGAATGACAAGATATAATTAGACTTTTATATATCAAGAAAATCAATCCTATTCTAAATGCGGCAATTTCTAGAGATAATTTACATATATATGCATATCAATTTATGTGATTTTAGAAAGTTAATGTTGTGTACTAACTCACAAAATATCATGGGCATTATGAAAGCTTTGTCATATAAAAGTAGTTACCTTTACTGCATAATAATGGACTCCATAAGTTGGAAGAGCTTCTACTATTTTCATATACCTATGGAAAATAAATATATATTATAGTCTCATTAAAATAGAGGAACCTTTGGGGAAACGTGATTTAAAGAAATACAGTTTGTTTTTACTTTCCTCATTACAATCATGATTAACATTTTTGACTCAAGTAGAAATAGAATAAATCATTCTAAGGCGTAACATATTCTACCCTCAAATGCTGGGTAAGGAAGTTGCTAATAAAACCTCAGTTTAAAAAAGCTATAGAAAATGTTCTTTTCTGTACATTAAGATTTATGCGGGCCATTGCTTTGCTAAGCCATGATCTGACCATGTGGCTCCTTAAGCCACGGTCGCCATGTTTCCTAGCCTTGGCCCCCTCCCCTACCTTGGGGAGGTGAATCTTCCCTCTCTCTCTTTCCTTCTAATTTACTTTCTAAATACACTATATTTTCCAATCTTGCAAAAAATATTTATATGGCTTAGAAATATAGTGTATTATATTATAAACTCAAATTTCAAGTAGTTTCTAAAGTAAGCACTTAATGATGCAAGCAATGAGAATCAGCTTTTGGATTATGTTCATAATAAAAAAAAAAAACGATTCCATATATGAGGGGGACCCAAAGAAACCTGGAATTTATCTATAAAAAATTGCATACTCTTTTATGTTTAAACTTCAGTCACCTTCAAATACTCTCTGTTTGATGCAATACACCTACTGAGATGCTTTTTCCACTGCTCAAAAACGGTTTTTGAACGCATCAATTTTTATGCCTTTTAGTGTATCTGCCGTTTTTTGCTTCACCTTTTATATGTGGGCAAAATGTTGCCCTTTGAGGACTTTTTTCATCTGGAGAAACAAAAAAAAAAGTCACTTGGGGCAAGATCAGGTAAATAAGGAGGGTGGGCAAGGGGGTTATGCATTTTTGGTCAAAAACTGCTAAACACTCAGCACAGTATGGGCAGTTGTGTTAACATGGTGGATGAACCAGTCATCTATTTGCCACAACTTGGGGACATTTCTTCTGCATATTATGATGCACCCTCTCAAAACCTCCAGATAAAAACTTTAGTTGACCGTTTGATCCAGAGGATCAAATTCTGAGTGTCCTACAAGGGGCTCGCCCTCCAAAAGATAATTCTGGTTTCTTTTGGGTCTCTCTCATATTGCTCGTGGTAGAGGTTATAACTGTTAACATCTGTCAAAAGTCTTAGAAATACATACATTGTTTTAGTTTTTGAGTCAGAGTCTCACCCTGTCACCCAGACTGGAGTGCAGAGGCACAATCATAGCTCACTGCACCCTCGACATCCTAGGCTCAGGTGATCCTTCTGCCTCAGCCTCTGGAGTAATGTCACCATGCCTAGCTAATATTTTTATCTTTTATAGAGACAAGGTCTCACTATGTTGCCCAGGCTGGTGTCAATCTCCTGGGTTCAAGCAATCCTCCTAACCCCAACCCCCGCCAAACCTTCCCAATCCTAACCCTAATCCTTAACCCCTAACTCTAATGTAATACATTTAAAATGGATTGGTTTTTATAGTTTTAAAAGTTTAAATGTAGCAACTGAAATGTTCTAAATAAATGGGAGGTAACTTTGTAAGTCATAAAATGCAGAAATATACTACGGTTGGTTCCTGGTGGCATGAAGAAATAGATTATCCAACATCAATATACTGTAGAGTCCATTTAAAGTGAAGTCACAAACTGGGGAACAACACAGGCCTCCAGATAGGTTTCATGTGGCTCACACTGCGTTGAAGTTTTTTTTTTTAATTACTTCCAAGTCACAAACTGGGGAACAACACAGGCCTCCAGATAGGTTTCATGTGGCTCACACTGCATTAAAGTTTTTTTAAAATTACTTCCAAATATTTAAAATTGAGATCTAAAAATCTGAATTTCCAGCTTCTCTTATGAAATATCAGAGGACTTGGCAACATTATCCCTAAATCTGAAGCTGAATAATCTTGTCTCTACCCAGGGTGAAAGCTTTTCAGTTCATCACATTTCTACCATTCCCTGCTGCCCTATATCTGGCCTACATTTCTAATTTCTGTTACTTGTCTGGCACTGGTAAGCATCTGAGTAGGTGGCACCGATGTATGAAATGACCCAAAACATTTTCTAATTCATGGTAAGATATTTCTAACCAGATGGGAACTATGTACACAAAAACTACACAACAGAAATCATTTCAAATGACATCTTCAAAAACGATACATTAAAATTGTATCTAAAGATAAGGAAGAAAGACACTTACTGAACCACAGCTTGACCCCGAGTCAGTCCTTTGATTTTCAAATAATGCTCAATTACTCTGTCCTCACTGTAAAACGAGGGAGTGAAAGTATGGCAATGCACGATTATCTGAGATACAGAGTCTATTTCCAGATTATCAGGTATTGGAAACTTGAGAGGGAAAGCCTGCCCTAACTTGTTTGGAAGATAGACTTTTATTTCTATAGGTCACAGATTCCTAAACTTAAGACACTTCACTACTTCCACTATAATCTTTAACTTCTATTTTATATGAAATATTTCTATACTATATATTAATATTTTAAAAACTTAATTTACTAGAAACAGAAACTATCAATTTTTCAAATGGAAAATTTTCTTTTACCACAACTGGGTAGAATATAAAAATATAAAATAATGATATTTTTATTATTATTTTACTTTATTTTAAGTCAGAGTCTCACTTTGTCATCCAGGCTAGAATGCAGTGACATGCTCATAGCTCACTGCAGCCTCAACCTCCTGGGCCGAAGGTGATCCTTCTGCCTCAGCCTTCTGAGTAGCTGGAGCTATATAGGCACAGGCCACCACACCCAGATAATTTTTTAATTTTTTGTAGAGATGAGGTCTTGCCATGTTGCCCAGGCTGGTATTGAACTCCTGGGCTCAAGCAATCCTCCCGCCTCAGCCTCCCAAAGTGCTGGGGTTACAGGTGTGAGCCACTGCACCCAGACAAAAATAATGATAGTAAATGTTCAGAACATTATTGAGGACATTTTGAGTATAAGGCCTGCCTTCACCTTGGTTAAAAAAGGGAGGTCAGTAAGCATTAGGCATTTAAAAACTTTCTCCTTAAATTATTCAGAAAGGTCTTCAAAGAATTTAAACTACTTCTGAGTCTGTGTGAAATCATAAAAACTCTATTATCACCACTTGTAGACACACTGCTTTAGGAAAAAACCCTTCATTATTGTTCTAGGGTAAAACCTGTTGACTGGAAAGGAGAGAACTAGGTTGTCAGGCAACCTTTCACATCATTCAACTATCTTACCCTAATCTAAGAAAGCTTGCTCTTCTAATCATATCTCAAGTATAACCTAGAAGAGTAATTTTATCTCCATATAACCAGTCATCGGTAATCAGACATTATTTTTTCTTAAGAAACTATTACTTTTTCCAGTCTAAAAAAAAGAAAGAAAGAAAAGAAAAGAAACTATCACTTAACAATGATTTGTTTAGAAGATTCCAGAGTCAGGATGCAGTGTAGCCTCAGTACTCACTTTTATCATATACTTGAAAAATATGTTCCAGCTTTCATATTAAAGCCATCAATGTTGAATATTTATCTTGTAATCTTAATTTATTTTATATTTTTTTAGTGGAAAAAAACATATTTGGGATTCACAGACTAAAACCAAGGAGAATATATTTTATAGGCATATAAGTATTTTAAGTGAAAAAAGTAATTTTCTAGAAAAATGTGGGATAGAAAATGACATCTCTGAATTCATTAAAATGCAAACAACTAAACCAACTCAACCTATATATTGATATTTGGCTGTAGAAGAAAACTCTGGTTATTAAGTTAACCTCTATACCATGATAAGCTTTCCTAGCCAAAAAAGAAGCCTCTGACCAAGCAAATCTGTATAACACTTACATTGCATTCTGCTAGATTAAAGTTGCATTACACAGTGACTGCACCTATATCGACTATTATATGTTCATACAGACATTGCATGCACATAAAAGAAAAAGCACATAACTGCTCTTTACAAATGACTGCAAGACATGCCTTGGGATTATGATCTCCAGTGAACTTCAACCAGATCCTTTCATGGAAAGAATCAAGGTCTACTTGTGGTTACTTGGATATATTTGATGGGCAATTTGATATTTTCCTCATTTATGTTTCCTTCAATTTCCTGAAAAGCCTGTAGTTCTCAATGAAGGTGATGATAACAGGAACCCGTTACCTTAGTCGGGCTTACCAGTAAGCAAGGGATGGATGCTCCTGAAGAGTTTGGGTTGGAAAGGCTGGTAGTGACTTTAAATCTTTCCTGGCATTTTCATCACTAAAAAGAAACATCACAGGGTACTGTCAGGCACCGTTACCGAAAATGTTATCCAAGCTGATTACTAAATGAATGAAATATGAAGTAACTTTTGACTCCGTCAAAAGGTTGCAGTCAACACACATAAGTTATGGGCTCCAAGCAGAAACAGCCCCCACATTTAACAGCACAGTCATATGATAATATTTTGAAGTTTGTAATATCATCTCCCTGTGTCTGCTTTAGTACATAACTATGATTATAACTGTGCATTTTCCACATTGTATTTTTACAGAGCGTTCTTTGTATTTCATTGTACTCTTTGTCCATGTTCCTGTAGCATCGTCCTCAATTCTATTTAGTGGCTATAGAATGTTTACCATGTTGGAAATGATTATCATGTAGCCATTAATGAAATGTCACCAATTTTTCTTTCTTTTTTTTTTGAGTTGGAGTCTCACTCTGTCACCCAGACTGGAGTACAGTGGCACACTCCGGCCACCGCAGCCTTGACCTGCTGGGCTCTGGCGATCCTTCTGCCTCAGCATTCCGAGTAGCTGGAACTACAGGCGCGTGCTACCCCACCGGCTAATTTTTGATTTATTGTAGAGATGAGGTCTCGCCAAGTTGCCCAGGTGGATCTCAAACCCACAGGCTCAGGCAATCCATTCACCTCAGCCTCCCAAAGTGTGGGATTACAGGCTGAGCCACCGAGCCCAGTTCCAATTTTTCATAATAGGTATTATTGCAATTAAAAGGTTTATGTAGCCCTTTCTATTACTCTTGCTGTTTCCTTATCACCCTCTAAAATACAGCACACCAAGTCAGCTGTCTGTGGAAATCTCTTGAATAGAAGATGACTGGAAAATGTAGTTTTAATAAAAGTCAAAGTATCCCTCAAGTCACATCAAGTGAACTAATGTACCTCTTGTGAGGTCAGTCATTATCTAATTATAAAATGACACAATTCTAGGTATCAAGAAAAGGCATGATCTTTTCAGAACTTAAAAAAAGGAAGAACAAGTAATACTACCCAGTCATAGTTGGTACTGCACTGTATAAGAGAAAATACTCTCTAACTGCCAAGTATTTAAGGAGACAGTCTATGGAAACAAACATGACTCTCTAGGGTCTACTGAAGTCTAAATAAGTACATTAAAAACCTACTCAAGATCCTGATCAAACTGGTGTTCATGAAACAGCATAATGCTAACTCTTCTCTTCCTACTTTCCATCTCTTCCTATCTTTACCACTAGTTACTCTTTGTTGAAAGGTTACCAAGTACCAGGTACCATGCAACATACTTTTTAGGAATGATTTATCCCATAAAAGGCTCATCACAAGCATTCCTATGTAGTAGGTACTAGTATTATCCATGCTTTACAGGTAGGAGTGTAAGGCTCAGAGAGGTAAAGTCATTTGTTCAGTGTCTCATAGCTACTGTGAGGAAGAGCAGATGATAAGCTCAGTCTGTTGGGCTCCAAAGAGTAAGTAATTTACCACTGTCTTCTATTACCTGATTCCCATACAGACGGTCAGAAAATTTGGTCCTAGAGCAGGGGTCCCCAACCTCAATGCCATGGACTAGTACGGTCTGCGAAACCGGGCCACACAGCAGGTGGTGAGTGGCAGGTGAGCGAGCAAAGCTTTATCTGTATTTACAGATGGTCCCCATCACTCACATTACCACCTGAGCTATACCTCCTGTCAGATCAGCATTGGCTTTAGGTTCCCATAGGAGTATGAACCTTATTGTGAACTGTGCATGCGAGGGATCTAGGTTGAATGCTCCTTGTGAGAATCTAATGCTTGATGATCTGAGGTGGAGTCGAGGCAGTGATGCTAGCGCTGTTTTCCAGTCACAGAAAAACAAGCTCAGGGCTCTCACTGATTCTGCATCATGGAAAGTTATAGAATTATTTCATTATATATTACAATGTAATAATAACAGAAATAAAGTACACAATACCTATAATGTGCTTGAATCATCCCCAAACCACCCTCCCCCGCCCCCTCCTATCTGTGGAAAAACTGTCTTCCACCAAACGGTCCCTGATTTAAAAAAGGTTGGGGACTGCTGTCCTAGAGCACTGACATGAACGTTTTCCATTCTGAAAAGGCATAGCTCTCCTTCACTCCCGCCTCCAGTTACAAATGAAAATGGTGACAAATTAGTATCCAAATCTATCACTTAAGAGTTTCTATATTGGCTTTCCTGGGACTTGCCCTACTGTGAATCATGATATTGAAGTAGATGAGCCCCCAGCTGGAAGATCAAACATTGAATCCAAGACAAATTTCCTTCTGAAGTATTCACCCAACACTCATAGATCAAGTGTTATAGACCAAACCGGGAACCAAACATGGGCTCCAGAAGGGTTTGTTTGGCCTACATCGTACTATGCCATATTTTAAATTGCTTACTCCTATTAATTGATCAGATTTGGTTATTTAAGTGGTTAATTTAAGAGATGCAGTCTCACCATGTTGCCTTCAGTACCTACAAAAAGTTTGTTTTCTGATTCTATCACCAAATTTCCTGACCGTGCTACAGGGCAATAAGGTAATCCTATTGAGCAGTCTCAACATAAACTTCCTGTCTTTCAGTAAGAACAGAGAATAAGAGGGTCACCTAGCTCGGAAACACTACTATTTGTACCTGTCAACATTACATTTCGCAACAGGGGCTGCGGCCCTTCCTAAAGGTCTAACTTTCCAAATTACTACAGGAAATAAAAAGTCACTTGGCTCCTGTTCTTACATAAGAATAAATCTCTCTATTCACTTGGAAGTTGAGCATTAAAGCTTAACCACATTGACAATCTTGGGAAACTGGTTTGTGCTTCCTGAAAATCAAAATATACAACAATCCAATTTATTCATCTTAAAGGTCAACTGTCAACTCCCAGTATTAATATTTATTTTCCTTAATAATCTCTTTTATGTTCTGTCCTTCATAGCACATTTATTGTAAAGGAAGTTGGCTTCTAATTTTTTAATTATTAATATTATATATTTTTTAAGTCAGGGTCTCACTCTGCCACCCAGGGCAGTGGCACAACCAGAGCTCACCACAGACTCAATCTCATGGGTTCAGGCAATCCTTCCACACCAGCCCCCAAGTAGCTGGGACTATAGGGCTGTGCCACCATACCCAGCTATGTTGCCTAGGCTGGCCTCAAATTCCTGGGCTCAAGCATTCCTTCCACTTCAGCCTTTCAAAGTGATGGGATTACAGGTATGAACCACTGAACCTGACCTGATTTTTTTTTTTAATGAAGGGCACACAATATATGCATTCTAAAATGATAAACTAAGGACAACACTTTTTGTTATCAATCATTTCACCAACCACATATATGTTGTTATCTTCTGGATCCAGGTGAACCATAGGCTGTGTTCCTAAAACCCAATCCAGTATTCACTTATTTAGATTATAGTTTATTTTGTGGCAACCAACAACTTACTAGACTGAAAGCTGCTATTTATCATAAGTTTATTCATTCACTTAACAAATAGGTGTAAGAGTTGCCAGGCACGGTGGCTTACATCTGTAATCCCAGCACTCTGGGAGGTGGAGGTGAGAGGATAGCCTGAGCCCAGGGGTTCAAGACCAGCCTGGACAACTTGGTGAGACCTCGCCTCTACAATAAATCAAAAAATTAGCTGGGCATGGTGGCATGCACCTGTGGTTCCAGCTACTTGGTTCCCACTACGTGGAAGGCTGAGGAGGAAGGATCACCTGAGCACAGCAGGTTGAGGCTGCAGTGGCCATGGGCATGCCACTGCAGTCCAGCCTGGGAGACAGAGTGAGATTCCTACTCAAAAATCAATCAATAAATAAATTTGTAAGTGTATACTCTGTGTCTAACATGAAGAAGCGAGTGTCGTATGATAGAACTGATTTCAACATATACAAATACAGTCAGTCAAAAGAGGGAGGAAAGAGAGGAAAGAAGTGAGGGAGAAATTAGAGCAATTTGTTCAAATAAACTCTTAGTGGAGAATAAACATAAAACAGGAGACTTGAAGCTGCTGCCCTTTAAGATGTTTTTCAGTCCTATGTGCCTCAAAGCACAAGCATCTAATATGGAGATTTTTCTAGCACTTAAGCATTTAGCACATCTGCTAAACACAAGCAACTTCTATATTTGTTGTCTAACTAAAAAAATAGCTGAATATTTCAACTATTTCAATACTACCTGTATTGGATTTATTGAAAGATAAACTTGATGGCCAGGTGTGGCCTGTAATCCCAGCACTTTGGGAGGTAGAAGCGAGAGGACTGCCTGAGTTCAGGTGTTCAAGACTAGTCTAGGCAACTTGGTGAGACCTGGTCTCTACAATAAATCAAAAATTAGCCATGTGTGGTGGCACATGCCCGTAGCTACAGGTACTAGGAAAGCTGAGGCAGAAAGATTGCCTGAGCCCAGGTGACTGTGAGCGTGCAACTGCACTCCAGCCTGGGCAACAGTGAGATCAATATTTAAAAAAAAAGAAAAAAAGAAGAAGCAGCAGCAAGGAGGAAGGAGGAAGAAGAAGAAGAAGAAGAAGAGTGGATGCGGTGGCTCAAGTCTGTAATCCCAGCATTTTGGGATGCTAAGGTGAGAGTATAGCCTGAGCCCATGAGTTCGAGACCAGCCTAGGCAACTCGGCGAGACCTCAACTCTACAATAAATCAGAAATATTAGCAGGGCATGGTGGTACATGTCTGTGGTTCCAGCTACTTGGAAGGCTGAGGTGGAAGGACTGCCGGAGCTCAGCAGGTCGAGGCTGTGGTGGCCATGAGTGTACCACTGCACTCCAGCCTGGGCAACAGAGTGAGAGACTCCAACTCAAAAAAAAAAGAAGTATACTTGAATGGATGGAGCACAGGGGATTTTTTAGGGCAGTGAAACTATTCAGTATGGCACCGTAATGGTAGATATATGATATTATGCATTTGTCAAAACCTATAGAACTGCACAACACAAAGAGTAAACTCAATTTGACTATAGACTTTTGTAATAAATGTCCTACA